GAGAAGAGAATGTGCATATTTATTAGTAATTACAAAAAAATTTAAAATAATCACATTTTTATTTTAAAAATAAATTATTTTAATATTTTTATTTTAAATAATTAAGATTTATTTATTTTTTAAGTTATGTTCTGCGCCCACTGTATATATTGGCCTTTCTTTTTCTTTTCTTTTCAATAAGAAAACTAAAAAAATTAAATAATATATTAATAAACGATATTTTTTTTTTGAACATTTAGTGATAGGGTCAATTCGAACCGTTGTTCCTGAGAAGGAAGATATGAATCTTACAAAAATGACTAAAGTCACTTGGTCCACAAAGTAAGGTTCAATAAACAATAATTTTTTTTAATGACTGTTTGATATTGTTTTTAATGGTATATACTTATAATTAGCGACGAAATACTAGACTTGACTGAAATATTCGACGGAAGATCTTGACATACCAAAAAAACATTTCCCCACCGAACAAGACTTCTGATGAATTCAGATTTCCGTTTTTTTGTTATTCCCAATCCGAGGGTCAAATTTTCCCAGTTCAAACATCATTTTCGTATCCAAAACTTCTCAAGTTCTCAACATTTTCTTAACCACGTACAATATGTTTAATTAATTAATTAATTAATACCATGATATACTGTATGTATCTTCGACTACGAATGTTCATCTGTCATTTCCTTTTAGTCTATATGGTGGCGTCACTTGCGTGCCTATTGAAGTAGGCTTGCCATGTTTGTTTCAGACTTTTAGACTTCTAGCAGCAGAAAATTTTGGAAAAATCATCGTAGGTTGCTTGAACCTACCTCATATTTGTCTTCGAATTAAACATAATTACTGGCCATGTGAGCAAAATTCAACCGACTACCATCTCAAGGTTAGAAATTTCTCCCTTCCCTGTACAATAACTTCCCCAAGAGAATCTAGCATAAAAATGAGATGAAAATTGAAAATGTTCTTAATTAATACAAGTTGAATAAAGATTGAACTCAAACTTAATTCTAGATATATATATATATATATATTTTATTTTGATTGCACAATAAGATGCAACTATCTCTTATCTTTTATTTCATCCTATCTGCATATTATACGACTCGAATTCAAAATCTCTTACTTCTAATGAATGATCATTGAATTATTTATGTCGTTGGTTTGATGCCAGATAATTAACTTAAAGCTAATGATGTTGGTTTGATGCCAGATAATTAACTTAAAGTTAATGATGACATTTTTGACTCAATAACGTTAAAGGTTTTATAATTTCAATATTATTAGTTTACTTTTATATATGGTTAATTTTTTTAGATTTTTCTTAAATTTTATACTATATTTAAGTCAAAATATTCTTATAAAAATTCAAAATATTTGTGTCATGTACAATTTGTATTCTATGTTTATACTTTACTCTTTATCAAAAATAAAAATAAAAAATAAAAATAAACCTAAAAATGGTCAATCAAAGCCCAATCCATAGAACAAAGCAGTCTTTTAAGCTCAACGACGTTTAGCCCATTAAGGTCCATAATAATTAATAAGAGTTAGGCTTAAAGTTTAAACAATGTCCAAAGGGCCATGCGCTGCAGCGCTAGGACCTAAAACGGACATGGACTTTACTTTAAAAAAAGGAAACGGACTTGGGCTTCGCACGTTCATCATGTACTTTTAGGCGGTGTTTTAAATAAGGTTAAACTCCCATTTCGTCCCTCAACTTTCATATGGACCGTCAGTGAGTCCCTCAACTTAAAAAATATCTGATTTAGTCCCTAAAGTTTGGCATTTTGGTTCCTTTTTAGTCCCTCTATTAAATATTTGCTGAAGTGACCTATTAACTGATGGAAGAAGAATGACATGGCCAAAAATATTTGACACATAGGATCGACAACATGGATAAATAAATGATGTGGCAAAAAAAAACCTCGGTCAAGTAATAAAACAAAAATAATTATCTAATCCATCAAAAATTACAATTTTACTCTCATTTTCATCCTCTAGCATCCTCTTTCTCAAATCTTCTTCATTCATTCTTCTTTTTTCTTTCTCTTTGCCTCCTCTGAGTCCACTTTCATCACTACTTTTCAAACCCACGCTTGCTAGGTTGAACCCAACGACTATTAGGTTTAATTGAAGCAAGGCTTGTTGGGTTCTTTTCGATTGTTCGTTGGGTTCTTTTTGATTGTTCATTGGGTTCTTTTCGATTGTTTTTCGATTTCTACCTCATTCAACCATCAATGCGAAGATTCAAAAGTGAAAGAGCATAGATTTGCCAACAAAAAAGGGTAAGGAAAAGGGGATTTTTTGCTTTTCTACAAGTAGGGTTTGAAATAGAAGGCCTTTGTTCTCTTAGGATTTGAATGGAAAAAAAGGGGGAGATGTTGTAAGTTTGGGCAAGATGTGGGCTCCCCCTGTTTTTTGGGTGTTAAGCAAGAATGTGATGTGTTTTGTTGCCATGTCATCTTTTTTTAATGTGTACAACTAACGTGTAACAATATTTTAACATGTCATCGTGCTCTTGTGAGTTAATAGGACACATCATTGGGTTTTTAACTTAAGGATCAAGTTGAGGCCAAAATACAAAACTTTAGAGATTAAATCAAAGAGTTTTTAAATTGAGGGACTCAATCGAGGGTTGTATGAAAGTTGAGGGACCAAAATGAGAGTTTAACCTTTAAATAATTAAGGACTTCTAAATAGAAAAGTTAAGACATTTAAAAATCAACTATCTCGTTTCTAAAATTATTTAAATAAATTTAATAAAAATTTTATTGTGTATTTATTTATCAAAAATATTTAAACATTTTTATTAAGATTCATGACATTTTTAATTATCAAGAAATATTGATTTTTCTCTGTCCCATTTTAAAATAGGATTTCATATAGTTTCAAGTTTTTTTATTTTTATTTTTATTTTTTATTTTCAATGACCTTTTCTTTAAAGATGCAAAGAATTGTTTCCTAAGGGGGGGGGGGGGGGAAGGAGGATTTTAATGAGAGTATCAGATATAGAAGAGCGTTTGGAGGGTAATGAAGATAACTCATCCACTAGAAAATACATAGCACTTTTTTGTTGGTGATAGTATTTTTTTATTAAATTATAAAAGTAAAATTGAGAAATTTTCATGGGAAGTTAGAAAAAAACTAATCCGTAATGTTTAATATTGGTTTTACATTAGTAAAGAATTAAGGAATATTTATTTTTTTAAAAAAAAAATAAATACATATTTCTTATTGATTTTAATTGTCACTAAGGTTTAGTTATTCCTACCTTCATAACCAAGTGTCTTAAATTTACTTTATTTTTATAGTGTGACCAATAAATAGTCATTATTACTAAGAAAAAAAAAACTGTAAGTGTTATTTTATAAGTTAAGTTTAAATTTAAATATAATCATGCATTAAATACATCAAGTTCAAATTAATATAAAGACGTACCTTTAACATTATTTTTAAAAAAAATTAGTATTGAAATACAAGTTGATTATTACACTACATATGAAGTAACTCCTCAATGATCACAACAAAGACAATTAAGTGATTAACTCTTTACGCAAAACGGATGCAAACTGATCAGATAAAACGCCCATAAGATAGAAAGGTAACTAGTGATAGCAATGATATAAAGCGACTAATGCCAAAGGTTAAACTAATGTTTAATAGAACAATGTGCAAGGTTGTCAATGCGTTTTAGTGATATGATGTTACACATAGTAAAATTTCAAAAAACTATGATAAAGTATTATATTGGTTATGTGATACCAAATTAGTAACCAAATCAAGAAACTAAATAACTAATTAGGTGCAAAAGAACAAATTACGATGTTAATAGTATAAAAAATTATCAAACTTGATTAGAGGATGAGATTGTCTTTATTACATATATATGACCATTCAAAATGGAAATGCATTGACACACAAACACAAGTTTGTGGTATTTGGAAACAGGAGTTTATGGTATTTGGTCCAAAACTTGGTCAACAAAGACGTGCAGTACGTGATTCATGTGGTTTTGCAAAAACACAAATTATTGTCGTTGTGCTTGTAAAATGGTCGCGGGAGTCTATGAAAGTTGGCTTGAATCCCCTGTTTTTATTGAGAAATAACACAGTGACCTTCATAGTGTCTTCTCGAGTTGCTAAAAATAAATGCATAGAGGATGCAGTGGCGTAAGGTTATAGGATCATGCGCATAGAAACCGCACGCGCACTGATTCACTGCAGAGCAGAGGCTCCCTCTTCTCGGTCTTATGCTACAAGACCATCATTCTTCTCCCAACATTCTGCATTTTTAAATCAAGGTTTGGTTTGGGGTGTATATAGGATATGGTGCTAGTAATTCATTTCAGACGACTGAATCACCCTTTCCCGATGATTTTGTCTTTCTTTCCTTGGATCTCCCGTTTCATCACCTCCTTTCTACGATTCCCTTTCTGCCACTGATTTTGCATTTCTTTATTTTTCAACTTTTCTCTCTGAAACTCTTAATGCCCTTTCAGTTTTTTATTTTTTTTATTTTTTAAGAACCAATCTCAAGACAGCTTCATTTGACCATTTCTGCCACCATGCCCACATTTGAAAGAGTGGCATGAAATACTAAAGTCATGGAAGCATTTTCTGAATAACACTATTGCTTACATTAGGAATTTCTAATTCCAAGTGGAAATCATTAATTATGTACACTTTGTTTTAGTGGACCATCCTATGCTCTTCATTCTGTCTCACGCTTGGTTAGCCCCAGCACAAGAACAGGGTAATCATAATGGGCATGCATGTTTTTCCTCATTTACAAGAACTCGAGCACATCCCATTTCTCTCCCATGGTACAAATTGTCTTTTTTTTTTTTCAACTTTCATGCTTACTTGTGCACATGGAACGAAGCAATTTTTGTGCCAATAATCTATTGCTGCTGCAGTAATACTATGCCTGATACAGTTAGAAATCAATTAGCTTTCAAGTTTCCAACATAGCCTTGATTATTGTACAACCATATAATTTACTTCCTATTTTTACCAACACTAGCATAATTAGTTGTTTTTGCATAACTAAAAATTTCTTATCTCAAGGGGGGCTAACTTAGTTTGGAAGTGGAAATGCTTGTCATCTTATTGACTAAGATTTCCATTCTTAGCAGGTAAGAAAAAATCTGATACAAAATTTAGCATTGACTAGTCCCAATTCAAATGACATATTATTGATACTAAAATAGAGATAAACTTACCACCACAATGCAAACAAAATAATTCAGAAGACTGCCTAACCATACATATATAAAATTAAACTTGTGATATGGATAATTATGATTTCATCCAAGTTTGAAACCATTATTGTTGGGGAAATGAACAATTACGGAAATTAACAAAGTGATAAGCCTGCGTGTTAGGTCAAAAGACCGATAAAAAATTAAACAAAACTTCTTTTCACCTAATTAGTAAATATGGGTTAGCACTTCTCCCCCACAAGTTAATGCGGTGGTTGATGAAGTAATATTTTCTGCATAATGTTCATTTCTATACGTGCCTTTAGTAGAATATAGCAATGGAACCATTCAATTTTCGTCAAATTTAGCTGGATGGCCAGAGACACACAGTTGCCTCCTAAATCCTAACTTTCTATCCATGATTAAGACCCAACACCGGGCCGGCACTCATCAGCTTCCCATTTCTGAACAAAATGGTCATCATTTCATCAGAAAAAGAAACGCGTTGCATTTAATATAAAACTACACTTTGTGGTCGCAGTTATGGATTTGTTCCCTTAAAATGACATGGAATTGGGAGTTTCAAAAGAAATATTTTGGAGTTTCTATAGTTGATTAGGAAAAAAAATGGTCCTTATGGACTGATATTGGCATAGTGAGAGTTCTGCAAACAATGGCAAAACTTGCCAATTGTTGTCCTTCATAATTTCAAGCATCAAACCTGCATCCAACTCACCTCAGGTCCCTCCATTCCCAGAGTGAAAGTAATGTAAGTATGTAACCCTTTGCTCTTATTGTTTTAATTTCAATCCACACAGTATAGACAATTCAGTGCATGAATATTTGAAATCCAGAGGGAATTCAAGCCCAGAAATTGACCAGGCCTCAGTCCCCAAAGCCTAATGGCTACACCAATTCTGATGCTGACATAAGAAAGAAGGTCGAGAAAAAGCCTTCAAGTCTCAATCCTGGTGCTGCAGAATAGTTACGAAGAAAGTCTTCCTTGTCATAATCATTCCTACATAGCCATAGGATTTTGATATTTAGGAGTAGGATTCGCTGTTGAGTGTTGAGTTAATCCCCCACCACCATCGTCATGAGTTCCTGCACATGACAATGAAATCCCTACAAAGTTGACCAAGAGATGGTGAGATTAGAATTTAAGTTGGGTTATGTCTTATAGTCAGGAGCAAAAGGTTCGACCATAGAACTTCTTCAGTCGGCCATACCATCCCAAGTACTTGTCGATGCCACATTAATATATACCCATAATAACTCAATGCCTTGTTGGCAATTTGAGCTAGGTTCTAATCTAATGATAAATAAAAGGAAGAAAAAAAACCTCACTTGTAAATATTTCAATTATTAGATTGTGGATTTTTAAGTTGACTTGTAAAAAAATACAAAATGTTTACGAAAATTAATTAAAACCTTTAATAAATCAAAAAAAATATTTTATAATTTAAATAGTAAAACACTAATTCTTAAATATTAAAAGGTCCCTGATATTTCCTATTTAAAGGTTTATGTTTTATAGTCTATATCATAAAATAGCAGAGTCCTAAACAATTAACACGAAAAAATAATTTATTGAAAGTATTTAGATAATTATAAAAGTACTGTTTTTTTTAATAATTAATACTATTGTTTTCTTCTGCCAAAGAGAGTGAAATTAATACTATTTCAAATGTCTAATTATTTCATTTAAGAAAAAGCAAATAAAAACTTGTCAAAGGCACTGGACCTTGAGGTTTAGTGGCATAGCCACGGTGCATCCCCTCTCTCGGCAGGGTTCAAAACCTGCCCTTGCAAAATACGTTCAAAAAAAAAAAAAAAAACTTGTCAAAGTGTATGACAAAATCTTTCAGGTGGCATTTGTTAAAGAAGTTGGCATTAGTTCTGGCCACTCACTTTGCCAAGAAAAGACTGGTTAAGAATAATTTTAAAGTGTTTCAATTATTTTTTTTTACTCAAATCAACGGTTTTTACAAATATTGGATATTCCTTTCTCCAGCTTCAAGCCAATAAAATGTCAAAAGAATTCAAGAATTATTCTGAAGACACTGAATTTGTGCTGGATGAATATGTACATGTATGGAAGAAATAGAAGAAAGTAGTGCTTACTATTTTTTAAAACTTTTTAGCCGACCTAGATTAATGTAAGTTAAGATACTAAGGAGATTAAATTCTGCATTCCAGACCAAGATTCTTGACATGACAATTTATGCCATTCCTAAATTACATCAAAACTGCAGATACTAAATGTAATTTTTGCAGTAGTTCTTACAAGTTACTTGCAAAGTATGTTTAATATTTTAATAATGATTTAAATTTGGACCGTAATACTACTATATTATAATTTTTCGTCCCTTATTTTAAATTGTACCTGTTTAAAAAAAAAATAAATGCAATTTTTTTTCATTTTCTAATAAAAAGAAAGGACAAATAATAATAATAATAATAATAATAAAACAAGTAAATTTGAGAAAAAGAGAGAAAACGGACAAACGTAAATGTTCAAAGGCAATGTCCACAAGCAAAAAAGGCAACTTTTGTACCATTCCTACACAAAATGGACCCTCTCAAATATCATCAATATTTCACATTCAAATTCCACTAAATCCTTGCTTTACATTCTACAATACAAATTCCAATCCTTTTTCTCTTGGATGTTCTTTTCACATAATCACATTATAAATCCCCCCAAAACCCTATTTTTTTTTTTTAAAAAAAAGAAAGATAAAATTTTAAAGAAATAAAATCTCACAAACAAAATTTTCCTCCGCTTTTCTTTTTTCTGTATAGTTCGGTTTGAACTTTCAACACATTTCTCAAGCGCCAAAAAACCCCATCTAAACCCACCACCGACGGAGCCAAGGCGACCGGCCTTCCTTCCGGCATCCCAAAATCGGCTACGGCCGTTGCTATGTGGAGGAGTCACACTCTCTATCTCTCTCTCTCTCACTGCCCTGCTTAGTTTGAGATTAGACAAAGATTGGTGCTTTTTTAGGGAGAGGAAAAGGGCAAAAATCAACATTTAGCTCTTTACCTTATAAAATTGGTAGGTTTTAGTCATTCACCTAACATGACAGTTTTAACTATTTATCTTATAAAATTGATAAGTTTTAGCTCTTCACCTTACAAAATTGGTAGGTTTTAACCTCTTACTTTATATTATGATCTTTTTAGCATCTTACCGATACAAATTAAAGAAAATAGCCCTCACCTAATATCAGGTTATAATGTTTTGCTGGTTATAATGTTTTGCTAGTTCTATTAGTTGACTGTTAACATCCGTTAGCATTTCGTTATAAAAAACATGAAATTTAAATTCAATTTATTTGTTAGTTCTATTAACGAAATACTAACGGATGCTAACAGTCAACTAATATAACTAACAGTCAGCTAACAGAACTGATAATCAGTTAACAGAACTAATTGAACATTATAACCTGATGTTAAATAAATGTTATTTTCTTCAATTCGTATAGATAAGAAGTTAAAAGTATCATAATATAAAGTGAAAGGCTAAAATCTATCAACTTTATAAAATAAAGGGTTAAAAGTATCATATTATAAGATTAGAAGTTAAAACATACCAATTTTATAAGGTGAAGGGCTAAAAATTGGTTTTAGCCGAGGAAGAGAGGCAGAAAATTGTCCAACAAACTGAAACGGCTGGAAAACCTACTCCTCCAAGAAACACTTCACAATCTTCACGCTTGGCTCCACCACTTCCCTTTCCCATCGTTGCCTCCATTCTTCTTTATCTGAACCCGACGCCATCACTGCTCTAAACGACGCCGTAGCATCCAGTTTCCGTAGTTTCCACCCTGCCCCTTTTAACCTTGAAAGCTTCTCTATCTGCCTTATCGCCAGTCGACACGTGTTGTCCTTTATCTCCCTCACAGCCTCCTCGTATGCTTCCCTCCGCACCGGATCACTTTCTTCATCGGGAACCCTCCCGTTTTCTTCCTTCTCCCACGGCGGAAACTTGCGAAAATACCGATCGAATTCCGGCACTCCGATTGCTTTCCTTATCCCAAAACGATACCCTTCCTTTCCCGGGTCGTAAAACCCAGCCAGCTCCTCGAACATCCCCGAGTCGAGCATGTCGTCTACTCGCTTACGCAGATAATCACACAGAACCGGCAATGCCACATCCACCCATAGAAAACAACAATCATACCTCAGTTCCCGGCTCACCGAGCTCGACCCAGAAAACACATCAACTTCCGGCTGAAATCGTTCCGCAAGCAGGGCGTGGACGAAAGAATTGGAGCCCCCAACAAGCAGAGGCAAGTTT